CTTATCCTCTGTAAGTGGCACCCGAATAAATCCACAAATCTCTTGGAGTAGAGAAAATACTTCTGTGGTGGGGGTTTCAAATCAAGTTCAGAGTATCCCCGTGTCCGAACCAGTACAAATGACACTTGGAACGTGCTCAGAAAAGCATGCCTTATTATGTGACATCGCTCCAGTAAGTTTACTGGAATGATTCTTTATAAATTGAGAAGAAAGAAAGTTCTCTTTGGTGGGAGAAATAATCCTAGAGTTTCCTGACCTACCTAAACCTGAACTGCTCTGTTCCCTACAAGAAGGGATTGATAACATTGAAACCTAAACCTATATTTGACATTGAAAAGGACGCTGATCTATTTCTGAATCATGAAATTTTACTGATTGTCGTGAACATGGACATTTCAGCCTGTACATTGCAACTTGTAGCCAATGATTGTAACTTCTGTATGTACCCTCCAATGAAAAAGCACAAATCCAGTTTGAGGAATACCCCTCCTTTCTTCTAAACCCTCCTATAAAAGCCTTTCAACTTGTAACAGACTCTGGAACACTGCTAACTTTGCTGGTGTATCTTCCCACATTGATCCTCACATTTGGCTTCCAATAAACTTTTATCAAATTATTTCTCTCTCAATGGCCTTAAATTCAATTGACATTTTGTTGCAGCAAGAAGTGTTCCAGGGTGACCCTACTGGACCACTCAGCATCAGCTTCCAATCTTCATGCAGATATTAGCAATGAACCCATTGTGTTCATTGAATTTGAACACATAGTCTGCTCAGGATGCAATAATGAAATATCATAGACTGGGTGGCTTATACAACAGAAATTTATTTCTCACAGTTCTGGAAGCTGAAAAGTCCAGGATCAATGTGCTGGCTGTTTTGGTGTCTGGTAAGGGCTTTCTTCCTGGCTCGCAGATGGCCGCCTTCTCATACCCTCAGATGGTCCCTCCTTGGTTCTTGCATGTGGTGGGAGGGGGGGAGAGATTGTCCTCTTCTTATAAAGCCACTGATCTCCCCATGATCTCCCCTACCGCAAAGACCTAATATAGCTCTAATTACCTCCCCAAGACTCTATCTCCAAATACTATCACAATGGGAGTTAGGGCACCAACATATGGATTGGAGGGGAGACAGACAAGGCAAGGAGGCGGCTGTGATTGGTCATAGTCAAAGACTCAGGACAAGAGTTCATGGCGGAAATCTGGAGTAGGGGAATAGGAGAGGAACCAAGAGGTAAGCTGTTTTCCCCAAGGGGTTGAGACAGGAGGCAGCTGCCTCCTGGGGAAAGCAATAATCTCCATTAACTGTGAGAAAGGTACAGGTAGTGGTAACCTTTGCCAGATTTCCGTTTAGGCTTTGGAGTGTAGGTTGTAGGTTGTGGCAGAGAGCCAACAGTATACCAGGATCATGACCCACGTGTGTAATTTGAAGGTGTTTTAGTCTGTTTAGTGTTGCTATAATGGAATACCTGAGGCTGTGTTATTTATAAGGAAAAGATGTTTATTTGGCCCATGGTTCTGCAGGCTACATAAGAAGCATGGTGCCAACATCTGCTCAGCTTCTGCTGAAGGCTTCAGGCTGCTTCTTCTCATAATGGAAGGCAGGGGGAGCTGGCGTGTGCAGAGACCATATAATGACAGAGGAATCAAGAGAGGGGGAAGGGGCCAGACGCTTTAATAGCCAGCTCTCCTGGCAATTAATAGTGAGAACTCACTCACCTCCCGCATGGAGGACATTAATCTATTCATGAGGGATCTGCCCCCATGATGCAAGCACCTCCCATTAAGCCCCACTTCCAACAATGGGGATCAGATTTCAACACGAGATGTGGAGGTGTCAAACAAATCAAATGGTAGCAGAGGACATCAGTGGGCCTGGGAGCTTTACTTGCAATTCTTTTTTAAGTCAAGGGCTGTGTGGGTGCTGTCATTGTGGATCCTGTGCTCTGATATCGAGATATAAAGTTGACTTTTTAATATTGACATGTATTTAGCAAACTTTTATAGTATTTAGCCACTTTGCAATTTATTTGTGGATTCTTTTAGATTTGTAAAGTACATAAATTTTTATGCCTTACTCACTTATTTCACTGTTCAGAACTTCCAGTATGATAAATAGTATCTGAATATAGCAAATATCCTTCAATTATTCCCAACATGAAACACTAAACATTTCACCAATAAGTCTAAAGGAAGTTGCCTTCTAGCTCTAGTTTTTGTCAAAGGTCTTTTATTCATCAATTGAACTAATCATTGGTTGATTTTTGGTTTTTATTATTGATCTAACAAAAGCTAAAAAGTTCCTTTTAATCATGGGCTTATCTGAATTGCAGCTTTTAAATGTGGTGTCTTTATAGCCATTCAGTTCTATGTATTTTCTAATTTCCACTTGAGGTAAGTTATTTTATTTTTGTTTTTTGAGTTCATCTCTAACACAGGTATGATTAACCCCATCTTATAATTAGAGAACCGAGAGATAGAACTTTAGGACTTTGGTCCGTCCTGGACTGACTGAAGAACTCCTCCTCCTTGGCATGTTCTTCCCTTCCTCCATGGGAAGTACTCTCCAGAGGGGCCTGCTCTCTAATCCACCATGTTACTGGCCTGCCTGGTGTGTGAACCTGTCAAGAAAAGGGATCTCTTTGTTGTTCATTCACTGTACCCTGACATAGGCAATGTAGGCTTGACTCCATGGTTGGCTTTAATTGGGTCGAGGCATTTTGGTGAATCTGAAGCATGCTTCAGATGGACACAGTTTAAGTCCTAATTGAATGATTTCCTGCACACTGAGGATTTCTAACATAACATGTTCCTGTCAACAAGTGCCTTAGCTATACATTTTGTGTCCATGAGAGCACAAGCTACACACAGCCTCGAGTCACATTTCTTTTTCTCATCTAACCAGTGGGGACTACGGCATGGAACTGGTTGGTTTTTGGACCCCAGTTCACTGATGCTCATTTTTTAATTTCTGGGAGTCTGCAGTCCAGGCTTACATGAAGGAATCGAAGAAATCATCACAAGATGTGTGTGTGTATGAAGGTGGGTTCAAGACCCCCTGGGCCTGTTGTGAGAGCGTCTCAGGCCTGCATCTGTCTGCCTGGAGACCCAAAATAGCCTGCCAGGCCCTAGAGGTGAGCAGTCCGGAGACCTGGAGGTTAGGGAAGCATTTATCAAGTGTCTATGGTACAACTCTGGCCCAGGCAAGAGGCAGAGTCAGGCCAAGGTTTCACCGAGTCTCAGTGGCCTGTGGGTTTTGGGCCTGACCCTCACCCCCCAACAGCACAGACTCGGCCGAGGTAGGTTATACAAAAATTATGCATTTATTTCCTGAAGCCCCTTAGGATGAGGTCGGGGGTAGCATGTGTCCTTCTGGCCTAGGAGAGCATCAGTCCGTGCTCGGTGGATGGCTCCAGGTCTTTCTCCTCATGGACTTTTAGGGGCTTGGGACTGGCCTGCGGGAGGTCAGGGTCCAGGGTGAGGGTCTCTACCCATCCCCATGCCCACACCATCCCCTCCCATCCCCCAACACCTTGGCTGTGTCCCCTGTAGGAACACCCTTCCCCACAGACCATCCTCTAAGAACACCCCGTACCCCTATTGTCCTCCCACCCCCAGCCCCCTTCAGGAGCCGTCTCTGCTCCCTGCCACCCAGTTCCGGGGCTCACCCCCTCTCCTGGGTCAGCCCCTTCCTCTTGCATGCCGTGGGCTTGGGCAGGGGCCTGCACCCTGTGCTTTTCCAGCTCTTCCTTCAGTCTGGATGGTAAAGGGTAGGAGTGGGGAGGAAGAGGGGAAAGGGGTGAGGGACAAGAGGTTGTGAAGAGACACAAAGACAGGCAGAGAGGAGAGGAGGGACATGCTCAGGCACATTCCTGGGGAGGGTTGAGGGGAGCTGGGGCTCCACACCGACCTCTGCCGCTTCTGCTGCAGTTCGTGGCACTTCTGCTGCAGCTGCTGGTGGTGCTGGGCAGCAGCTGCCAGGAGATCCTCAGCCTTCCTGTTCTCCTCCTGGAACAGCTGCCTGGGTGGTGGGGGGCAGTGGGGGACGGTCGGCACCCACCTCTCCCTCTTTCCACCCCCTCCACCTCCACATCTTACACTGCTGCTGCAGCCTCCTGGCTGCGAAGGAAGAGCCCTTCAGTGATGGTAGAGGGACTCTCGGTCCCACACAGGGAGCACAGTCGATGCTTCACATCCTCCAGCTTTGCCTCAACCAGCTTCTCTGTAGCAGGAAGGGGCAGGTGAGCAGGTGAGGGCAGGTGAGGTCAGATAAGGGCCATCCATCTTCCCTGGCCTCACCTTCCTTGAGCAGCTGCTCCTTGCTGCTGTCCAGGGCACAAATCTCCCTTGCCAGCTGCTCCGGCTTCTGAGGGGGCAGAAAGGAGGCCTGTCATCTCCTGGCCCTCTCCTCCATGCCTCAAAAAGCCTACCAGTCTTTCACTTGCTCACCATGCCTCACTTCCTACTACTCTGCCTCTATATGCACAATAGCCACAGTCCAGCCTCAAGGCCTTTGCACTGGTCACTGCCTCCCCCGGACCTCTGTCACCTGACATGCCCACAGTGCTATGGTGAAGAGGCTCATGTGATTGTTCTTTACAACAGAGAAACCTGCAAATACTACAAATCTGGGCCGTTATCTGGAGAATTGGTTTCCAGCACAGCACTGCAGCTCTTCCCTTCTCCTTCCTCCTGCTGGGGCCTCTTCACTAACCCCTTCCTTCCTAACACTAAACTCCAGCTATATTCTTGTTTGGTGCCTGGGATCCCCCAGGGGCGATCAATGGTTGCCTTGGACCTCACTGTCTCCCCTGTGTGATAGTCACAGACACATCCGTGGACGTCCCCAATGGAGAACTCGACCTTGGTCTGATCAGGGATCCTCCCGACCACTGGGCAGACGCAGAGGCAGCAGGAACGTGTGGGCAGGATCAGCGGTGAGGACGCTGGGCACCGGAGGATGGTGATAAGGGGATGGACTGAGGGCGATGCTGACCTTAGCACCACCATGGCTTGCTCAGCAACTGGGTGTGGCAGGTGAGAGGAAGAAGGCCCGGGGATGACTCCACAGTTTGGGCCTGGTGCTGCCAGGGAGGATGTGGAGGTGGAAGGAGTGGCTTTGAGGGACTCACGTGGAATTCCCAGAGATCCTTGTGCTGGCCCATCAGATCCTCCAGCTGTTCCTCGAAATCCAACCTGGGAGCCAACCACACAGGCATGAGGGGCTGTGGGCTGAGACCTCACCTTCACAGCCTGGTCTAGGCCCGGGGTCTTCACGCATAGACCTTGGGGGGCTTTGCCCATGGTCCCTACACCAGTGGAGGCACTGTCACCACCTTGACCCTCAGAGGCTCAGCTCAGCCAGCCCCTCCTCTAACCCCCATTCCTGATATTACTACAACCCATCCTAACCCCCCAGGCATCAGGCACTGAGGCTTACCTCAGCTGCCTCTGTTTGTTCTTCTCTTCCTCAATCTGGGAGTTCAGGGCAGAAATTCTCTCCTTGCACTCCTGCAACACGGTGTGCTTCCTGGGAAGAGGCAAGGTGGCCTCAGCCATGTTCTGTTAAGGACTCCCCAGAGGGGCTGGGATGGGGCTTCAGCCTCCTTTGCTTAGGGCTATTTAATCCATCTACATTGAGGTCTTTCTCTGTCACATGTGATAGGCAGGGGCTCACATGAGCACTTCGCCCTCAGGTTTAGAGAGAGCAGCATGGACGTGGTCCAGGGCAAACGCACACACGCCTTCATATCATCTGAGTTTCCCAAACAGTTCCCACCTCAGAATGCGAGGGCTCAGGGCCTCTGGTAACAGAATAGCTAAAGAAGCATTAAGGAGGTAGAGAGACAGATGGAAAAATAGTTGTGTGGATGGAAGGATAACGGATGGATAGAGAGAGAATGAACAGATGGTTGTCTCAATGCCTAAATGAACAGACAGATGAGTGAACAGCCAGCCAAGGAGCTAGATGCTAAAGAGTAAAAGGCACAGAATAAAGACCAACTGAAGAAATGTAATTGACAATGCAGCAAATGGTTATGCCATTGAGTGCCATTACCCTTAACACTACCACCTGCTGTTGGAGCCAAGAGGGGAAAAAATTCTCCGCCCTCTCCATTGTACAGAGGGAGAAAACGAGAGCTGCAGGCCTAAGAGGCATCTCCCTTACTCTCTCTGATCTACCAGAATGAAGGGGTAGGGCAGAGCCAGGCTCAACCGAAGCTCTTACCTCTGTGCCTCACTTTCCTTCTCCTGGCAGTGCAGCCGGAGGAGCCTCAGGGTCTCTGCAAGGAGAGCAACAGGTCCCTGTGAGAGCCCATCAAGGCACTGGGTTTGGGCAGAGGGAACAGGGCTGGGTCATGTCAGGTCCATGGACACCTGATTGGGCTTTGACATTTCCTGTGAGTCTGGTCAAAGCCACAGGAGGGACGCAAGCTGAGGCAGGTTTCAAAAGGCTCCAGCTGTTATTGGGAGAGGGGGCTTCTGCAGGTGGTAAAGGCAAAAGCCTAGAGATAGGGAGCTATAAATACCTTGTTTTTTGTTCAAGATCTCCTTCAGTCGTACTTTCTCTCCACGCACTGGAAACACAGTGACATGTTCATCATGAGACTACCCCACTGCACCCTCAGGGACAGGGCTTGTCCACAGTCATATGAGAGGTTGGGTACAGCCCTGCCCCCAACTCAAATATGGACCCCTTTAGGTGAGACCCCCCTCCCCTTTCCTCTGGTGCCCATACTGCCTCTGAGCACCAAAGGGCCTTGTGTCTACAGAGGGTGGCTGTGAGGGCTCTGCAGGATGCCCACACTTTTACATGGAGTGGAGAGAAAACACACACACTCATGGAGCGACATAAGGGCTGTGGAGAAACACATCAAGCAGCAGCGGCTTGTGACTAGATGAGGGGAGGGTCCCTTCTTTAGATGAGATGATAGCGGAAGGCCTGTCTGAGGAGAGGACACTGGAGCTCAGAGCTGAATGATGACATGAAGTAAGAGGAACCTATATTATCTGGGGAGCACAGGGAGCAGCCTGGCAAAGAGCCTGGCAAGGCAGGAGAGTGTTTGGAGGGTGTTTCCTGAACACTCCCACCAGCAGCGAGGAGAGGACATGAGACTGGAGAGGGAGAAGGGTCCTTAGCCATGGCAAGGATGTCAAGTGTCTGGAATACAGGGTTGGAAGAGGCTTGAGACAGTGTGGGGACTTCTGGGTGACCTGTGGCTTGCTTACGTGAGTCCAGTTCCTTCTGCAGGGCCTCCGAGATGGTCCGAGCCTCTCCTAGCTCTGCATTTGCTTTCTTTTTTGCTTCACCAAAGAGCAGAAGGATAGACATTGTGTGAGTGCAGCCTCCAGCTGCACATTCCCTTGTAAACAGTGACATTTCACATCTGCCTTCAAGGTAACCTAGAGGGGTCCAGATTTTATGGAGCAGAGGCTTCCAGAGTCCAGGCCCTTTGTTCCAGGCTCAGCTGGCAGTAGGGCCAGGTTTATGGGCATACGGCTATGGCAGCTGCATGTAGAAGTACCCTGTAATTAGCTCTGCTGTTGCTGTTGTTAATAGCCAGTAATTTTGGAGCAAGGGGCCCTGTATTCTCATTTGGCAATGGGCCCAGTAAACCATGTAGCTGGTCCTGGTTGGCAGCCAAGGCCCCTTTGCTCACCTTGCTGAGTCTCATTAATCCGGTTCATCAGGACCTCTACACGGGGCTCTAGGCTTCCCGCTGCAGGGAGGAAAGGAGGTTGAGTTGATGAGAAAGCAGAGGTGGGGTGGCTGCCAGCCCTGTGTCTCTGCTGCTTTCATTCAACACAGATCTGTTGAGCACCTGTTGCAAGCAGGTGCTGTGTGGGGCCCTCACGGGGCTCACTTTCTGAGTGAGTGAGACAAGGAACAAATAGAGATACTGAGTCAGGTTGTGGTAACCGTGGTCAAGAGAAATAAAGTGGGGCAATGGGTTAACGAGCAAAGGAGTGGGAAGTACTTCTCGGATATGGGAAGCTGTCATGAGGGCCCCAAATCAAGGGAGCAGGGCTGGCCCTGCAGCTCTCTGGGTGGGGGTGGGAGGCAGTCAGTGCAAAACCCCACCCTGAGGTGGGAACATGGCTGGGGCTGGCAGCAGCCTGGAGAGCAAGGAGGGCGCAGCAGGAGGTGGAAGGAAGGGAGGTGATGGTGACAGCTTTGGATCTAATGGAGTGCAGTGGAGCTGAACGGCTGACCAGCAAGGGGCTTGGGACAGGGTTTTGGGAAAATGTTTTGTCTCCATACACCCTTACGCTTCTTTAATTTTGAATCACAGGGCCCTATCTTTAGTTCAAAGAATTAAGTGTTAAAAGAAAGGGGAAGTGAAGGGGATAATTTCTCAAGTTTATAAATTGTGGGGCCTGGAATGGAACCAACATCTGCCTGACCCCAAACCTCAGGCTGAGCCTCAGACACAGAGGAGACACATGACCTTTCTGCAGCTTTTTCACCATTTCCATTAAGTCTTCAATTTTCTGTGAGGACGTGTCTTGCCCTGTGGAAACAAAACTAAACATTTCAGAATCCAGTAGAGTGAGAGGCCAGAGAAAGGATCTCACAGCCCTGGCTGGGATTGAGGTGGGCTGCAGGCAGGTCTCCAGCCAGAGTGGTACCCCTGCTCCTTCTCCTGAGGTGGACGGGCACAAGATGAATCGGGCCCCTCCGTGGTCAGCTTTTCCCTACAGGTGAAATGATACCAGATGTCGCCTTCATAGAACTCCTGGCGAGGGCGGGGTGAGCTCTCATTGCCAAGACTGTACAAAGTAAGGTCAAAGCTCCTGCTCTAATAATGCAGGAAAAAGTGAGGTATAAAAAACTGGAAAAAGGAGACAAAAATCACTATAACTGGCAGATGGCATAAACAATTAAAAAGTTCTGGAGACCCTTATACAAAACAACATAGACTAGTAAGAAAATGTAACAAGATGTCTAGTTAAAACATGCATAAATACTAATAAATTTCCTGTATATAATCAACACTGATTCTGAAGCCTCCTTGTAAAATAATATTTCATATTAGTTTTTATAGTTATTGGGAACTTTTTAAACCACCTAATGAGTTAGTAGATCGAGGAAATTACTATTCATGGCATTAACATCACAATAAAGGTAACCAGACATCATGAGCCATCTGATGTACTAAGACTAGCACCTATTACGAACTCTTGCCAAGAAATGATGCTAATACTCATGAAAGCTCTGGATGTAAATACTAATTCAGAGGAAATACAGGGATAGAGCAACGTGTTACATGGCACATGGGGATGCAGTTAGCAATATCCAGACTGGGAAACTCCACAGAAAAAAACAACATAGTTTGTTTAACAAATAAGTTTTGAGGGGGAAAACAGAGAGAGAAAAGAAGACCCTTGTAGACTAAAAGGGCCTTAAGGGACACATGAACCAACCTCAATGGTCTCTCATTGGATTTTTTTTTTTTTTGAGATAGGGTCTCACTCTGTCTCCCAGACTACAGTGCAGTGACATCATTATAGTTCACTGCAACCTCAAATTCCTGGGCTCAAGTGATCCTCCTGCCTCAGCCTCCCGAGTAGCTGGGACTACAGGCAAGTACCACCACGCCCATCTAACTTTCCTATTTTTTGTAGAGATAGGGTCTCACTCGTGCTCAGGCTAGTCTTGAACTCCTGGCCTCAAGCAATCCTCCCGCCTAAGCTTCCCAAGGTGCTGGGATTACAGGCATGAGTCACTGTGCCCACCTTTGTCATTGGCTCTTGATTCGAACAAATGTATTGAAAAAAAACACTAATGACACAATCAGTAAAATTTGAAAAATGACTAGATATTTGATGAAGTAAAAGAATTATTGTTGTTATAGAGATGTGACAATGGTATTACTTTTCTGAAGAGTACTTGTCTTCTAGAGATATACCTGGAAATATTTATGGGTGACATTTTATGATGCTGGGATGTTTTAAATTGCAATAGTGGAATGCATGGTAGGGAGTAGGTGATGCTAAAGAATAAATAAGATTGGGTTGGGTGTGCTGGCTCACAAATGTAATCCCAGCATTTTGGGAGGCCAGGGTAGGAGGATTGCTTGAGCCCAGGACTTTGAGACCACCTTGGACAACACAGTAAGATCCCATCTCTACAAATCTATAAATAATAATAATAAAACTAGTGGGCCTGTTGTCCCAGCTACTTGGGAGGCTGAGCCAGGAGGATCACTTGAGCCCAGGAGCTTAAGGATGCAGTGAATTATTATGACTGCACTGCACTCCAGCCCAGGCAATAGAGCAAGTCCCTGTCCCCTGCCACCAAAAAAAAAAAAAGAATGAGCAAAATTGGTTGAGAGCTGATCATTATTAAAGCTGCAAGATGGATTCATGGAATAATTATACTTTGTTCTCTACTTTTGTATATACTTAAGTTTTTCTGTAATAGAAAGTTTTTAAAAATCTGCCAATCAAATCAATATAGAGAAGGTAAACTCATTTCTACAGAAGAGTGGAGAAAAGGAGAGATGTAACAAAAAATTACACAAATGGCCAATAAATATTTGAATATGTACTACACCTCAATCATAATTAAAGAAATGCAAATTAACATGTTGCACCTGGCAGACTGGTAAAGATTAAGTCTGATAGTACCCAATGTTAGCAATAATGTGTGGAAACTGGCACTTGTATCCTCTGATAGAGACTGTAAAAACTGATGCAAGCTTTTAGAGGGCATTTTGGCTGCATTTTGAAGACAAAATTCTACCTCTAGGAATTTAACCATTAGATAACCTCAGTGAAGTAGGCAAAAGGCATGTTCAATGATGTTGAAACAATATTTGTCAAAGCAAAAGTAGGAAACAATTCGAATGCCCATCAGTAGAGGATTTATGGTTCATCCACACAACGGAATATTGCATAGCCATTGAAAAGGAGACAGATTCACACGTTAAAATGAAAAGATATTCTACATATAATAAAAGGGAAAGAAAGTGCAAAATAATGTATTACAGAATTCCATGTAGCTTCAAAAACAGGTGAAACAGGTACCTGTCAGTTAACACATACATGTCTACCAGTCTAGATACAATAATTTGGGGCCAGAATCACACACATAAAGAAACCGTTGACACTGCTCACCTCTAGGTTAAGACTGGCTGGTTAGGGGATAGGAAGAAGGATGTTTACTTTTCACCACATACATTTCTGCATACTGTTACATATTCTTCAAGTTAATATTAGAAGAATATTTACAAAATCTTAAAACTCTTGATAGTCAACGAGAAAAACCGAATCTTCCATCTCAAGAAAGATGAGTGAAGCACATTGAAAGCAAACATGCAAAAGACTTAGGATGGCCACGAAGCAACTGCAGGACTTTCACCCGCAGCAGCACACAGCGAATAGGCTCCCTCGCACCAGCTCCCTGATTCCCCTCCCTTGATGAAACCACTGTAACCAGCTATCTGTGTGATTTTCTTAAAATAATTTAATTCATAGACTAGCCTATGTCTGCTTCCCCCACACCCACCATCCTTTTTCTGCAGACAGGATGCTTCATACCTCGATTTGTTTTCACTTGTCAATATATCTCTGGGATCTTTTCATGTCATACATGGAACTCCTTTATTCTTTTAGAAGGCTGCACGGTGGTCCCCTGTATGGGTATGCTACAATTTTATTGTCCCCCCGCTGAAACAACAATTAGGTTGTTTCACTTGTTTCGCTGTTACAAGAATGCTGTGACGAACATTCCTTTACATTCATCTTTGTACCCATGTGGGAGAATCTGTCGGATGAATTCTGAGAAGAGTCATCCTTGGATCCAGTATATTAACAGCGGTCACACAGGAAAATTCCTGTGACCTGTGTTAAAAACAGTAACATCCCGTCCTCAGCCTTTTCTCAAGCCCGGTGTCTGAAGGAGGCCCTCCACCCTACAACCGGCCTCTCACCACTACCTCCGGCCTTTTCAGCCCGTTCCATGGCTCCCGCGGAATCTGCCTTCGAAGGCCCGGACCTGCCCGCCATTTCCTCTCAGCTGTCCAGCGCCGATGCTTTTGGCGCCTCGACTGGTGATTGGACCAAACCTTTGCCGGGGGCAGGGACGCTTTGCAGTGCGCCTGCGCAGTGCACTCCCGGGCAGCACTCTCCTTGAGAGAGGGCCTGTGGGTAACGATCTGGTGCCCCTGCCCAGCAGCTAGTGCGCATGCCTCAAGCTGCCAGGCCGGCAAGACCTGTGTAGAAAACGTCAGGGCCGCCTTTAGCCTGGCAGGCCTGGGATTGGTCAGGTGAAGGGGGGAAGTGCGCATGTGCATAAACCTGCTGAAGCCCCGCCCCCACGTTATGTAGCCGTGTGGGAACCAGTGTCCATGTGAGTGCCATGTCTGCCTGCGTTCTGTGTTCAGCACGTGAAGGGCAGTCCCATTTCGATTAGGGTGAGGGTTAGGGTGAGGGGTTAAGGGTTAGAGTTAGGGTTATGTTTAGGGTTTGGGGGTAGGCTTGTGGTTAGGGTCAGTGTTGGAGTCTGAGCAGGGGTCAGGGTCAGGGCTAGGGGCTAGGGTGTAGGTTTAGGGGTTACGGTTGAGGATTAAGGGTTAAAACATAGGGTTCAGGGTTAAATTTGGGGTTAGGGGTTAGGGTTACCTTTGGGGTGGTGTTGGGGTTAGGGCTAGGATGAGGGCTAGGGTTAGGGTTAGGATTAGGAGGTTAGGGAGAGGGCCAGAGTCAGGGGTTAGGTTAGGGTTTAGGTCAAGATAAGTGTCAGGGATAATGGCAAATGTTTAGGGTCACGGTCGTGACCACGGTCAGGGTAGGGTTAGGATATAGGGATAGGGGAAGGGGGAGGGTTGCGGTTAGAGTTAGGTTTAGGGTTAGGGCTAGGGCTAAGGGCTAAGGGCTAGGGTTACGGTTCAGGGTTTAGGGTATAGGGTTTGGGTTAGGGTTTAGGGTTTAGGTTTAGGTTTAGTGGTTAGCGTTAGGGTTAAGGGTTGGGGTTAGGGTTTAGGATTTAGGGGTTAGGGTTTAGGGGTTAGGATTGGGGTTGGGGTTGGCATTGGGGTTAGGGTTATGGTTAGGGTTTAGGGTTTAGTGGTTGGGGTTAGGGTTAGGGTTTAGCATTAGGGTTTAGGGTTAGAATTAGGTTAGGGTTGGGGTTATAGTTTAGGGTTAGAGGTTGGGGTTAGGATTAGGGTTTAGGGTTGGGGTTGGGTTTAGGGCTTAGGGTTAGGTTACGGTTAGGGTTTAGGGATTGGGGTTGGGGGATAGGGTTTGGGTTTAGGGTTAGGGGTTAGGGTTAGCGGTTAGGGTTAAGGGTTGAGTTTAGGGTTAGGGATTCAGGTTGGAAGTAGCGTTAGGGTTTAGGGTGTGGCATTGGGGTTAGGGTTGGGGGTTGTGGGTTAGGCTTAGGGTTTAGGGTTTAAGTTTAGGGATGGATCCACACTGGGCTCCCAGGGATGCTTAGGAGTGGCAAGAGGGGACAGCCCCAGGTAGGAGGGGTCTTGCCCCTCAGTGGAACTTCTCCTCTTCCTCCCTCCTCCTTTGCACTGGATGGATTAATAAAGCCCTTTCTGGAGGGATATGACTCTCTCTGCCCCTCCTGTGCTGTGTTCTTAGGTCTCACATCACACATTATATCCTGAGCAGGAAGTTTCTGAGTGTGGCTGAGAACACCCCAGCAAGTCCAAATCCTGTGTCATGGACTCCAGCATCTAGGGCGGGTGCTTGGGCCCTTTTGTAGGAGGTCTAAATCTTGTCGGGGGCACTCTTTGTCCTGACATGTGACTAGAGGAGCAGGGCATGCCCCAAATTGTGTCAAGGCCTCTGGGTGGAGTCGGTGATGAGGAGGGCAGGGCCTCAGAGCCCAACTGTGGCCCTGCACAGCCCTGCCAGCACCAACACACACATGTCATTGCTGTTCTTTGTACTTGAACAGCAAACGTCCCCAGAAACACACTGAGATGTGCTCTGTCCTTCCCCCCAGACACTGTCAACCCCAACAGGGACCAAAACTGAAAAGTGTTCCTGCTGTTGGTCTTGGTTTTTAATCATAACACTGTTCAATTTTTGGTCACTTCTATATACTTATTTAGAGAAAATAGACAACCAGAAAAATGAGAAGGAAACATTAACATAACTCTAAAAAATGGAACCTGTAGAAAGATGTCAACTTCTCATTGTGTGTTTTTGTGACCTGTGTGAGGAGATGCTCCTGCATAGACTTTGTCCAGTCCAGGTGGCCCTGCAGATGACCTGGGCCCCTGCTGATCTTGACCAAGTGCCTGACCTGCAAGCCCTCATGCACCAGGCTCCTGGGCATCGTGGTGTGACGGAGGCCTTGGGAACCGCCAGGGGTGGGTTTTGTGAAAACGATTCAAAACAGCAACTGGGTAGAAAGCTGATGTCAGTGGAGAACATGAGAAGACATGCAGCAGGACACTATGGTTGGAAACATGGCAACCATTGGTTTCTTCCTCCCCTGAAGGGAAGGGTTTCCGGGGAAGCTCAGAGCGGCAGACCGTGTGCTTGTGTGAGGCATTTTGAATTGTTCTGTATCTGATTCTCAGGGATGGGTGCCTACTGAGTAGAGCATAATCTCTGTTGTGTGTGAAATAAGTCTCTTTCCACATAAGCCTGAAGAGAGGGACAGGCTAGCAGGAAAGAGGGATACTGGGGGGTGGCATGTGGGGCAGCAGGGTAGGAGGGAGGGAGCCCTGGCTGAAACTCAGAGCAGGCGATTGATGGAGGTTGGGACCCGCACTATTGCTGGAGCAGGCAGCAAAATGGAATCTAACCTCATGGCCACTCTTAAAAGGGGGAAACCATACTCAGGACATTGTTCAATGTGCATCAAACGCTGGGAGACCCCCTGTGTTATGAAGAAAGCCAGCATTTAGACAAGTTGATTCTGGTGTGTCCTCCACGTTTTGAAATCTGATGATCTCTTTGTCGAATTCTTGGCTTCCACTCCATGAATCCTCTCAAAGAAACTGTGTGTGATGTGTGTGTGCGTGTGTCTGTGCTCACGGCAGATGTGGTGTGTGTGGTGCTGTGTTCAGTGAGTGGATGTCATTAACCCATAGGGCTGTGCAACAAAAGACACACATTTAATAGAAAGAAATCCCACGAGACCACCGTTTGGTCTCGGGTTTCAGCATGATTGTGACCAAACCTATTTATAGAATTTCCTTATGTGAAGGCACAACACTCTTAAACTTTAAAGATAATAGAATATTTTATTCTAATAGAATAAAATTAAACGGGAAGCTTGGATTTTGCGTGTGATCACTGTGCTCATGTTGTAAAGTGGAAGTATGCGTATTTTGATACTGAAGTGTTGTCTCTCGTTCCCCTCACCTCTGGCCCATATTATCTGGGGCATCCAATGTATCCATTCTGTGCAGAACCACAGTTGTTTCCCTGGGCCATATTTGGTCCAGAATTCTTTTTTCTAGACCCACACAGCCTAGCTGGCTTGTCTGGAATCTTCTAGGCATTGGAAGTGATGAAAACTACATGGAAGAGAGAAAGGAGACATAATATCTTGTTTTTCTGACTTTCGGTTTTGTATTTGTACTGTCTCTTACCAAGGTGTCATGTTTCCCCTGAAATCCCATAGTGAGTTGCCAAATTTGAGATGCATCTGGAACCAGTCTAGTAGTGGGTATAGTTTGAACAAATTATGTGTGCATGTAAAATATATACATATCTATAAGTCTGTGCATGAAAATGTATTTCTTTGTACTTTTGATACAATGTATTCATTTGTTAATTTTTAATTATATCTCATATAAATCAAAGGTTTGCTGCAAAACTTTATATTTAAGAACAGCATTAAAAAAAAATTCCCAACCATGCAACACAATTGGGACCTACTTAAAAAAAAATTGTATGATTCACTAGTTTGCTGCCTGAGTACTATTTATCAGCCAAACTTTGGATTCTGCTATTGTTTCTACAATGACATTTTGTATGAGGCAAAGTTCTTGGATTAAAATAAAAACTTAGTAAAAAATTAAATAAACAAAACCCCTCCATGATGCTGTTGGTGTGTGCAAGGTGAAAGGCTGAATGAATGACCCAAAGGACAGATTTCACACAGGGGGCGGGGAGAGGCGCCCTCTGTGAGAGGAGGCGGGGCTGCGGGGCTGCAGGGCTGCGGGGCTGCGTGCCCTGCGTGAGAGGAGGTGGGGCTGCCCCACCCTGCGTGACAGGAGGCGGGGCCACGTGCCCTGAGTGAGGGGGGAGCTGCATGCCCTATATTAGAGTACCGGGGGCTGCCCCGCCCTGCGTGAAAGGAGGGTGGTGCCCTGTACCCTGCATGAGAGGAGGCGGGGCTGCCCCGCCCTGTGTGAGAGAAGGGGGCCGCCCCGCCCTGCAAGTAAGAGGCGGTGCTGCCATGCCCTGCATGAAAGGACGCAGGACCACCCCCTTAGCGCAGCCGCGCAGGCGCCATGTCACGCGGAACGGCCCTGGCCCCGCCAGTGAGACCTTCCTGTTCTCAGAACTGAGGCCCCGAGAGCGAGTGAGACCTGCCCATCCCCAGACCTGAGGCGACAGCGAATGAGACCTTCCTGTCTGCAGACCTCAGGCACCCGCGAGTGAGGCCTTCCCGTATGCAGACCTGAGGCCCTGAGGGTGAGTGAGATCTTCCTGTCCCAGCCCCGGGGGCACCGCCTTCCTGTCCACAGCCGCCTGCTGAGGGGCAGCCGGTCTTCAGAGACCTGGGAGGGGCTCCGCGTGGAAATTTGGAAATGGGGAATCCACAATTTCCACCACACCGAGGTCCCCCAGCCCAGGACGTGGTGGCCACAGGTGTGACGACCACGTGGTGGCCTCTCCACGCTGATGTGGTATCAG